AGTGGTTCTATTTTAATAAGCTCAGTGCTTTGAACCGTCTTAGGAACTTTCTTCCGGTCAAGGAAAGATAACTCTGGTGCAGTCTCTTATTTCCATTAATGATTATGCTGATGTATGTTATCCTGATCTTAATGAGGTCTTTCTTGACATGTTGGATTGTTTCGTCAATAACTGTATCCATTATTTTATCTTTCGTCCTCGCAAGTTTGATCATGTATCCTCATACTGATCTCAGCTTAAATGGTTTCTTATTCGTCAGCGAAGATACGTAAGGATACTTACCACAGTTTTTTCTATTTTGTTCGATAACCATTATCCTAATTATCTGAAACATTGGTTTCATTTCCTGCGTGATAATCATGATAGACAACTTCATTTATCGGAGACTCTTGCTCTCTCTTTACCCCTTCAACGTTTGGGTTTCATATCTTTATCGTTTGCTGTCCAAGCCGCGCTCCTATGGAATAACCTGTCTGAAAAGTTAAGGCAGTCTACCAACAAACAAACATTAAAGACGAATGTTGTGGCTCATTTCCTAAAATTGCATCAAAACTGTTAAGCTACGTTATCTTATAGTTATCTCTGTTAATCAGGATTTTATGCATCTTTATTTGTCTTTATTTTCTTATAACATATATATTTATATGTTTGTGTATATGTTTGTGTATATGTTTATATGTATGTATGTATGTTTTTAACGTCCTACTTTGAAAATTAATATTTTTCAAAAGTAGGAAGTTATAGATTTCGGTCAGATTTTGAGAATGCGTGTTTTTGAGGTCCTAGGAAGTCGTTCCGACTATTCCCGGCTGGACGTCCGGCCGAATGTGTGTGTGTGTGTGTGTGTGTGTAAATAAAATTTTGTCGTACGATATATTTAGAACGAATCAATCAATCGAGATGGGCGATAAAGTGTTCACTGAGACTTCGAGCTGATTAGATTTTCAAATTTTCAAAAAATACAAAACAAAAATTAAATAGATTTTAGAGCGTTGCGCTCGTAAATATGCGGGAAGTTGCAGGTATGGCCTATATATACATACATACACACATATATATATATATATATATATATATATATATATATATATATATAAGGTGAACTGGCAGAGAATCCTTTTAGCATTAAGTCCGCCTTTTGATCATATACTCTTGCAAGGTTCAATAAAGTTTAAATAAATAATTATAATTAAACACCACGCTTTTAAATACTCTGCTTTACCGGAAGTGAGACCTTTAAAACCACAACCAATAAATATACTTTAAAAGGCATTTAACAGACATAAGGCTACAAAAAAGGCAAAGGTGGCCGACAGCTATTCAATGATTCGTGTGATATGCTCACCCGACAACAAACAAAATGCGGACACCGAGCGCTTGACTTTGAACGATATCTAATTTGTGTTATTGTGTAACGCGACCTGCCAGCCCTGGTACTCACAATGAGCGGGATCCGCTGAATTTATCGCTTGGTTACACAACAAATCAAAATTTAACGAGCTCGCGCAAACGTTGCCAGGCTCTGCAATGCTACCTTCAGATTCGCTTAAGCGTATAATTGCACCGCCCACGGTAAGCGACGCGACACTTAGTTTGGGCGCTCAACTGTACTTTCCATTTTCGCTCCCCATTCTTCCCGCTCATATCTAATAGAACTATTCCACAGCTTACAGACCCATTCCGACTTATCTCCTTGGCGCTATTTATTCTCACGTAAATACACATTTTTTGCAAAACGCAGATTATGCCCAGGTAACATAAGCTGGATAAGGATTTAAATAAATACCATTAGATAATAAACAAATACAGTTCATAGATAATTATATAGTTTTACTTTGACTTTCCTACTTTTTTCTAACAAAAGCGTTAAAGAATCAACAAAACGGATTGATTTTTTTCTATCACGTAAAATTTGTTTGGGATTGTGATTAAGGATTTCTTTGAATATTTTTTTAAGTGATTCACGAGTAAACGAACGTAGTTAGACTGTGGGAGAATATTACAAAGGATTTACCTGTATGAAACAAATTCCAGCTTAGCCGTACACCGATAACCCCAACGAACAACAAGAAAACATTCTGGGATTCTCTTTTGTTTCGTATCTTATCGGATTTTAATTACAAGCGTAGAGAAATCTCGTTATTCCTTAAAGGGATATGACTGCAGCGGGCTAATTCACTATCGACCCTCGCGGGATTTTATGCTCTTCCTTTTTATATTATTGTTACTTTTTAACTGACCTATTACATGCACCTGGTGTGTGCACTTGTGTAAATTGGGTATTTAAATTTATTTTTCTGCCTTTATTGATTTGTAATCGACTTTATCACTAATATTATTTACTAGCTGATCTCCGCGACTTCACCCGTGTGTTTTTTTTTTGCGCGGAACTCTAAAATAAAGGTAGCCACAGTTACTTCTTATAACATCAACTATCTGCCAGTGAAAGTCCCATCCAAATCGGTTAACAGGTTTTTGCGTGTTGCGTGTTCACGCCAAAATAGCTCGCAGATGACAGATTTTTCAGACTTACTTAACATTTATCGTTATATTTTGGACAATTTACACAAAATGTTTATGAATTATAACTTATGTGTTATTTTGATGTATGAGCTATATTAATGTAAATTTTTATGAAAATCCATTCAGTAGTTTTTGCGTGAATGAGTAACAAACATCCATACATCCTCACAAACTATCACATTTATAATATTAGTAGGATTAGTAGAAAGTATGATAATATTTTATATGCTGCAAGCATATCGTAGATGCACTTTTTCTGCCAAGTCCGTTTCAGCCGGCACCACTATCAGCAAGTGAGTTGCCACTATCTTACCTATTGTTACCTCCCGATTCTGTGTTCTGATTTGAATTTTTCTTCGTATGGCAATCCCGCTCGTATTAAATAGTATTTGATGCTTCAACGTCAATGTCTAGATTCACCCCAGTTTCAAAAATCTAGTTGCGGACAACTAGATTTTTGAAACTGGGGTGAATTTATAGAGCATTTTTATTCCACCAGGGAAACACCGAAGTGGACAGTCATTGACTTTGTAGGATAGTTTGTTATGGAGCTTCATAATGACACATTGGAGGGTCTTATAAAATCAATCTGTACGTCCAGTTTCAAATCGGTTTAACTTTACCAAAACTTTACGTACGCTGTTAAAACGGGGCGGTTCATTTATGCCATAGAGGCCTCATCCTCATACCCATAGATCCTATGGGGACCTAGGATGAGGTCCCGGACCTCGGATGGGTATATTTAAGTGTTTCCGATATGAACACCACGCTCTGCCGAGGTTTAACTCGTATTTTCTACCGACTTCAAAAAGGATAAGGTACTCAATTCGACTGTATGTTTTTTTTTTATATATGTTTTTTATTTTTACTTTTTTATGGATGAACGGATTTCAATGATTCTGTTTTTATTTGAAAGCTAGTACTTCTCATGTAGTCCCATATAAGTTTGATCAAGGTCTGACCTTCTTGTCTGTTTTTAAGATATTCTTAATAATTTATATTGAAGTAGGTTGTACAATTTTTTTTATTTTAAATTATATTCTTTCATCTGACCAGATCAGTGATCTACAAGTAAGGTTTACTAAAAACGCTGGATCAATTTTCTAATGGGCTTTGGCTTGAGTTATATTTTGGGAAACATTTCTTCCACTCGCACTCGCAGTGGCGTTGCATTTTTGCAGTACAGGTTAACGTGTGACAAAAGCGGTAACCATGGCATTCGCTTAATTCGTTGTGTTAATTGTCCCTTAGATAATTCGTCAAGATTAACTCAAATTGAATATCATTTTTTCATTTATTCCACCAATGAAATCGTTAATAGCAATTTTAAGTGTTAATCTACCACGTGCTCGGCGGTGACGGAAAAAATTGTGTGGCTGAAAATGAAAATAAAATATTTTGAATATAATATCAAAGTGAAGATATATAGTGAAGTCTGTCAACACGCATTGGCACGCGGCACATATTCCCTTGCACTGAAAGCTTCTTTGAAATGACAGGATGCCTAGTCCCAGCCGTGGGACATATGTATGCTGTCACTTTACTTTTACACTTCACTTTACTTACTAGCTTGTGTCAGGAGTAATTCACGACAGTAGTCAAATACGGATTCGTGTCCACGACCTTTTAGTTTCGCAGCGTAGTACTGTCGGTTTGTTTGAAATTACTTACTTACTTACTTACTTATCTTCACGCACAATCCCTGACGGGGTAGCCAGAGAGAACAGATCGCCAAGTGTCACGATCCTTACAAACCTCTTTCGCTTCTTTCAGATTCATTATCTTCTTCATTCATGCACGTCTAGGTATCCGAGTACTCTTGACCCTACCCTCTTCGAGCAATTTGCTCACATGGTCTTCGAAAGTTAGTCTCGGTCTACCTCGACACCTTTTAATATTAACTTTCGCGCTATATATTTCACTCATTCGCTCAACGTGCCCAAACCACCGAAGCACGTCCTTATCAATTTTTGTGATAAGGTCATCTTTCAAACCTGCCATATTGCGAATCTCTTCGTTTCGCTTTCGGTCGGCCATAGTAACGCCACACATTTTACGAAGAGATCGCATCTCCACTGCATTCAACTTACTTTTATGCTTCTTCTGGCATACCCAGGTTTCGCTGCCATATAACAAAGTCGGTACCAACACTGCGTTATGTATTGCAAGGCGTGCACTCTTCGCTACGCCTTGCCTTTTAACTAACGCAGTCAGGGCACCATTGACTTTGTTCCCGGCAGCGACACGCCTGTCCACATCTAAATCACATCTTCCATCCCGGCTAAAAGCACTCCCCAAGTATACAATTTCATTTACCTGTTCTAGACATTCCTGATTTACCCATATTTCACACTTCGTTCTCTCTTCGTCCCTTTCAAATAAGGGGTTAAGATTCCATGGGCTGCTGTTGGCACATAGTCAGGTGATCTCTTTGTTATTTTTCAGTATTTACTAAGTTTTCCGTTATTTTATTCCAGAGTCATCCGTTGGTACAGGCGCTGGGTGCTTTCCGTCAGGCGCTATGGTGTACACTGAAAAGGGTCCCCGCGATATTGATACTCTTCAAAAAGGAGATAGAGTACTAGCGGCGGATGATAGTGGCAAAATGATATATTCAGAGGTAAGATCATCTCGTACTTATATGAACACATATATTTAAATTATCAAAGGGATAATATTTTGTTAAAAAAGGAATACGCTAATAAATTGAGCATTATAAAGTCCGTCTCTATATTTCATCGCATATTTTGTATACGGCACAGGTAAGATGTAGTAAATATACGACGGTCAATACGACAATATATTATGCATTAGAAAAGAAGAACTACAAGAACGGAAAGCCAACAACGCATATCTGCTGGGTTTTGTATGATGAGCGGTGTGACTCAAAGATTTAATTAAACCTTTCCATGTCCCGTGACCCACATATAGGATTGTTGTCTTACTATTGTGTCTGCAAATCGAACAGTGAAAGTATTAAGTGGCAAATAAATGTTTTCGTTAGTGCTTAAAGGTGTCAATACATCGTTTCATTCTTAATCAAGTATTAATTTAGGATTTTGTATAAGCAGTTACTATCTTAAATTCACGTGTGTAAACAGCGTTACCGCCTTCGAGGCTCCGTTTTCATCTGCCTAGCATGCTGAATATTGGTAATATTTGAAGGTTGAATATTTAGTTCTATTTACCTCGTGCTCGATGGGGACATAAAACGTAGGAAAACATTTTTATGTGGTAGAGCCACGCTCCAGACATGCTAGCTATTCATAGCTGCAGCACGAATTAGTCGTCTTGACCGGGGTAGGACCACAATCTCACAGAATACTAGCGTAAAACAGCAGGTTAATGCTACTGTGTCTCACACGGTGAGTGTAGAGAATTAGAAACCTTTTATTGGTGAAGAGGCATTCCATCTTAGTCGTCAGGGGTAACAACGTACCTGCTGATTTTAAATCGACGATAGATGTAGACGTCTATGGGTCATAGCATCCACTTACCATTAGGTGGAGTAAATGCTCTTTATCACCCTTATACTTAAAAAAAAACTCTAAGCAAAACATATGCTGCATCTCCAAAACCCTCTCCGAAATAAGAGAAGTTTTATGTTCAACAACTATAAGCTCCTTTTTAGCTAAAAAAATTAAACGAGCGGTTCTAAAGGAAGATTTTCTTATAAGGTTTCCAAAACAAGAAAGAATATAAAAACACGATATCGAAACTTTGTTACATCTTAATATATTTTCTTCTTTCAGGTTCTTACGTTTATGGATCGAGATCCAAACGCAACGAGAGAGTACATAGAAATCACCGCTGAAAACGGTGTCTCTATCACAACGACGCCATCACATCTCTTGTTATTAGCAGCTGCAGAAGGGTGGAGGGAGTCGTTCGCTGCTGACATAGAGATAGGAGACGTTCTCCTCACAACGGGAACGAGTAGTGTGATGAGGCCATCGGAAGTTGTTAGTACGCGGGTAGTGAAGAAGCGTGGAGTGTATGCGCCCCTCACTAAATCCGGGACTATTATAGTTGATGATGCCTTAGCGTCGTGTTATGCGCTCGTCCGCAGTCACTCGCTGGCACACGCCGCTATGGCTCCACTGAGATGGGCGGCCAGTTGGAGCAAATCCGAAGAAATGCCTCGTGGCGTACATTGGTACGCGAATGCTTTATATTCGTTCGGCGAATTCGTGTTGCCTACATCCTACAAGTACCGTTAGTGAAATGTTAGTGTAACAATCGTTTAAGAACATTGTTTCGCGCGCGGGACGTGCCTTTAATTGATTGTGTAAATAGTATCCAAGTGTAAATACTAAGCGGCCGAGATCTGTACATAGACTCTAAGTAGGAATCGAAATATTAGTTTTTTTTTCTACGAACGCGTCGACTATATATATTATATACATATATCAACTTAATCCATTGAAATTGTATTTATTAAGTAGTATTAAGGGGCATTTTTTGCAAATCAATTAGCGTTCAATTATTTGTGAATGTGTCGGTGTTGTTATTCTGCACAATGCAGAAATACTTAAATGTATGCGCTTATGTTTTTTATGAGTAGTTGTAATATACTATTTAATAATAATTAACACTTCGCAAGTGAATCTAAGTTATCTCCTCTTACTTCTGTCTTGACACAAGGAAAACAATATGCGAGTTGGGTACTCTACGATTGTAACTAGACATTCCATGGCTCTAATCTTTTATGTATTAACATTCTACGTGTGTAAAATATAATGAAATTGTGATCTTGGTACCTAAAACAGTGCCTTAAGATTTTATTTATTGTTATTATTGTAGGCTAGTTATCTATTTAAAAAATTGACGATGGAAAGATTGCTTCGATGTAACATATACATTTAAATTATTCTGCTTTACTCTCTTCGTCTACTTTTATTGATAAAACTTTATTTATTACTCCTTTAGTATTATTATAAGATTTCCTTTATTTATTATTTTTTTTAGTTAGGTTCAACTAACTGCAAATTAGTAATCTGGTTTTCTTTTTGCGTACCATCATAATATACCTTGAAAGAGCACTCGCATACAAATTTTGTAAAACTCATTAAAAATAAAGAAACACTGTAAGTGTATTTGTGTAAATGTACTTTTACATTAGGTGACATAAATGCCAGTAGTTATAAAATATAATGAACGATCTTTTGTAACAAAAACATCAAATTTATCTTACTTTCGTCACTAGCTACCGTTTTATAATAGTAAATGTTCTTTTAGATTTGTTTATTTTTACTTATAACTATGACTCTTGTAAAGCTAGATGCTTTGATTGTTAATTTCTGTTCATAAAACGTAGGTAAGTGCCATTACAAGTGTAACACTACATCGAGTATTAAAGGCACGCCATTGATCGTTTAAAAGATCTTGAACTGAAGTTAGGGTTCCTATAGTATGAATTTATTACAAAAATGACTGCTTATATTTAGCATCACATTATATTCTAGCAACATGTGCCTGTAGATGTTTTTATCTGTTTATAGTTCTGGAAAAGAATAATATTATATATAGTATTTATTATAAGATAATTTAACTGCGCTTGCAAATATAACAAAATAAAGGTACAAAATATTTCTAATAAACAATTAATTTTTGACGTGAAATAAATGTATTGACACCTTGATAAAACTATATGAAGATACACCATGTGTTAGATGAAACTTATTGCTTTGCTCAGTTTGTAAACAAATATCACCCCATATTGCCTTTATATGTTGATATATTAACATAAATAAATATAAGTATATGAGAAGCGGGTTAAAGCTGATGTATTTACAACTTTCACTATTCTGCATAAACAAGAGAATCTAAACGAATGCTTTTGTACTTAAAAAACTATATGAATCACATAATATATTAACGTCATGTTGTATACTTATTATAAATATCGAAGCATACGCTTAGTTAGATGTTGCTTTAAAATGAAATGAATTTTCTAAAATTATTCAACTTGTATAATAAGCGGCAAGCTGTTCCTCTTATATTAACTTTACAGTTTTATTATTTATTGATATTCAATTTATACTTACACATTAGGTATTACATGTTAGGTTTCCTTAAAAGAAATACCAAAGGATTTGTTTCTCCTCAAACCAAAATAATCCTTTATAACTCACTGGTTCGCAGCAAACTAGAATTTGCATCAGTTGTGTGGAGTCCCCAATACGCGGCACCATCTCAACGTCTGGAGAGACTACAAAGATCCTTTACTAGATACCTGACATATCACACTTCCGGCATCTCTCATAAGGCCACCTATGACTTGCGGCTGAAACACTTTAAAATGATGTCACTTTATAATCGCCGCATAATATTAGATATAACATTCCTCAAAAAGCTGTTGTCAGGACAGATGGCATGCAGTGAATTGCTTAATGAAATAAATTTCAAAATCCCGTACAGATATCCACGAAATCCTCTCACTAACATACTTGTTGTACCAGTAAGTAGAACAAATGCTCTAAAACATTCTCCATTATCAAGGATGTGTTCTGAGTACAATCGATTTTCCGCGTCCATTAAAGATTTTGATATTTTTCATGACTCAGTGACAAATCTGAAAAAAAAGCTTACCGCACATTTTTGTTGGTAAATTAGATTTGTAATTTAATATTTATGCTACTAAAATTCTTCTTTTTGTTATACTTTTGATTTTTGATTTTTGATTTTTACTTATTAATTTGCTGCAACTCAAAATTTGTAAATTGAAATTTATTTTGAACTTAAATTAATTTAATGTCTTCTAATGAGAGTGATGTATGCACCAGTAATTGGCATGCATACCAAACTATTTATAAGACGAAGATTATTGTAATGTTTTGTATGTTATGCTGTTGGTGTGTCAATAAATAAATAAATAAAATAAATAAATAAATACTTAAATAACGAGTTAAATAGTCGAAGATGTATTATTTTTGTATTCGCTAGAGTTTTGACATGAAGTTACTCCCGATAAAATATATTTATTACACTGTTTAATCTATCTGTAATACTAACATGATGTGTCCATATATATGATCAGATTACGTAAATAAAATGTTGGCTTTGTAAAAGGAATTTTGTTTTTATTATTTAACCTTAGTTTCTTTTACCGTACTGTTCGTGGTGTAGGAATATCTACGTAATGTTTCAGATGTCATTGATTATAAAAGGCTAATGTAGATCTAATAATGGATTAAAATATTTTTTTTCAAATTGGCAAATATATACGATTTCATATATTATGATATAAAAATATAAAATAATATATAAAATCCTACCCAACAAAAATATAACAATACATCAATACTAATTCATTTAGTAAAACATAATCCGTCTTATTACAAAAAGCAGCTTAAAATTATTATGTTTGAACTAGTGTTTCAAGAAATATGCCAACTAAAAAATGTAAAGTATGTAACGTCACAACAAATGTCAAATTTCATGAAGGCAATGACTCTTCTATCAATACACTATACAATTTTGTAGACTGCCTCATTGGTCTAGTGGTCGTAAACGTGACTACTGAACATGAGGTCCCGAATTCGAATCCCAGGTCAGGCCAAAGTCAGTTATTGGGTTTTTTGTCAATAAATTCACAGAAGCAGCATGGACTAAGGAAGTTGGCGGTGTTTCACGCCCGTGCCTCGAAAAGCACGTAAAGCCGTAGGTCCTGCGCCTGATCTCTCTCTGATCGTGTCTGGTTGCTGTCCAATTAGACTATGAGAGTTGAGGGAATAGAGAGTGCACTTGCGCTGATGGCTAGTCTCTACCATGATCGAAATTCAATCTGGATTATTATTAAATTGTGTAATAAGATAGTAATCGTATGTTTGTGATAAAACTGTAACCGTCTCTGTTGGTAACGATCTCGGGTTGAACTAAGGCTTAAGGAAAGCCTTTCCAACTAAAAATATTCCTTAGCCGCGGTGCCACAGTCATCGCGATATTCGACAACTGCCGTCGAATTTAGTAGGGCGGCCCTCCAGTGACGTCGATGGATGCAGGTAACTCAGGACCGTGCTATGTAGGTTTGAGGGAGGCCTATGTTCAGTAGTGAACTAATGAAAGGTTGTAATGAATGAAGAATAAACATACATTATATTTTAGTTTGCATATTTCCGCAGGACTTTTATTGTGAAGCAGAATTTAGTTTAAGCCTGAAACTATTTACAAACTACTTTCTGTAACAAGGCCATTCGTGTCTAAGATTTTCGTTGTGTACCTGTCGGAAAATTACAAAAATATTTTATGGCATTCAACAAATGCTGAATGAAAATCTCCAAAACTGAGTCTATTATAGATAGGCTGATGATAAAAGGAAGCGCCAGCGGTGCACTGCTGGTCTATCCACTTGACAAATTTGGCGATTACGGAATAACGTATTAACTTAAGAAGAGGCTCTGTTAGTCTTCCAACTTCCAATTTGGATGTCCTGATTTGATTATAGTGACAAAAGATAATAGTCGTAAAAGTCTATGGCTGGGCATGAGCCTCATTCCGCTAGATTACGACGACCGAAATGTCGCCGGCCAGTCATACACAAACACTACACAGTCACCTAGTACACAAACACTGTTAGGACAACAGCGGATAGAACGCAACGAGTCCGCAGACGGGCGCGCCGCACAACCCTCCACACCGCGTACCCACCGTACACCCACGTCCCTGGGCAGTTCTCAGCGCCCAGTACATCGAACGATACGAGTTAGCCGTCAGTCGGGGCCCGGCACCTTTGTTCAGACGGCGGTTAGACAACTCACCCATGTATGTTGTAGTTTCCGACGACTTCAAGGAGTATTTGTACAATAAATCCTACCCACAGATTATCGATTTTTAGTGCAACTTCGCTTTTGTAAAGTAGTACTTACATAAATAATATTCCCTCCTTTTTTATCGCCTTTCAGGCCGTGAGCCCTAAGTCTGATGAAGTTGTAAGAGCCGCATAGGCTAAAAGGATTAACACCACAGATAGTGGAGGGCATGGGCCTCTCTCGTTGTATGGAGGAATTACCTTTATCGTTACGCTTGATAGGCACATTGACGATCGTATTACCTTGCACGTTTAAAGCTTCGTTCAGATCTACAGATATTGAGCGTGCCTGACACGTGGCGTGGCAGACAAAATAATATTATTTTATACACTATATATAGATATATTCACATCTAGCGCACGCATGCAGAGCATGTCCGCGCAGACACGGGCCGGCACCGGCCAGCATTC